TAGATTGGGTCTTCTAGCTCATTAGGCTAGCCAATCTGAAGAAAAGTCATGTTGAATAATCTTATCGAAGATTACTTTGTACGGTCGTGAGATTTTCAAGAGGGTATTTTGTTAATTTTAGAGCGTTCCTGTCATACAAACCGCCCCATCCTTCAGCCCTCGAGGCGCGCCGTGTTAAGGCGTCTCGTTAGGCTTTTTCCTCTCTTGTGCTGAGTCGGAGCTTTTACTGTTATAAACATTTCACAGCCGTCGTGAAAGACCTCAATTTTGCCACCCATGGGGAGTGTTGTAATTGATCCAATGGTAGGACGAAAGCGCACAATGTCACAATTATTGAGAATGTTTCGCCCCGTTTCCTTCGCTTAGCCTGTGGACTTGTGAACGCCCAACGCTCCAATTGCATTACCGAGTCGGGAAACATGCAGTCAATAAAGGAACCCGTCCTTAAAATGCGAAAACTTTCGTTTTAATTTCGTTACCGTAGGCTTGTTCGTGAGTTTAGAATCATCATTTGAAATTCCGAACTTTCAATCATTGGTTGCTGTGGTAACACGATGGTAAGGTACTTCATCAGTTCCTGAGCCAGAGATTGAGACCAAACATATTGACGTGCTTAGATTTACGGCGCTGATGATATAATCTTGCTGTTAATTCGGGATTGGTCGAACCGAAATAAGTTTTAATGTGGCGAGTATTCAGTCTGCTTCTAATTGATTGGGAAATGATGGAGTTTCCACAAGTTGCATGAGGTGGTTGCGAGGAGCCTTCGTAATGACGATACCTGTCTCCAGAAGGAAATGACATGGCTCATGAGTAGAGTTTATACTGACAGAGTCGAGAAGTCTATCTCGCATGCACGCACGCTGTATGTCAGTGAGATGTATCTGCTCTCAAATGTGCGGATATACACCCACTTATATATCCTGTTCATCTCTCTATCTCTTTACCATGTGTGCGTCACCACACACAGGGTCGAGGGTGGCCCAGTCATTTTATGCCACCAATTTTTTGTGTGGAGATGTGTCCCTAAGGTGTATTTGTGTGCTTGTCGTTTAACGCCGCACTCATGTATATGGTGGCGATCTGTAGATAATCTAGTCTTGACTAGACAATCCAGTGATTGAGTTTAGTTTTACACCGCACTCAGCAATATTACAGCTATATGGCGGCGGTCTGTAAATAATCGAGTCTGGACCAGACAATCCAGTGATCAACAGCATGAGGATTGATATCATGAGCATCTATTTACGCAATTCCGAAACAATCACACACACAGGCACGAGGTCTAATGCGACCAGTTCGTTGTGTTGAGATGCACCCTTAAGGTTTGCCTGTTTATTTCTTTGCGTGTTTATTTGTTTGTTTGTTTGTTGTTTAACGCCGCACTCCGCACATTTTCCCAACTTTATGGCGCGACCTGTAAATAATCGAGTCTGGACCAGACAATCCAGTGATTAACATCTTGAGCATCGATCTATGTGATACGATAACGGGTGTCAACCAAGTCAGCGAGCCTGACCACCCAATCCCGTTAGTCTTCTCTAACGACAAACATGGATTGCTGAGGATAAATCTAACCAATATCGTCATGGTTTACAAATGGTAAGGACGTTTACACCAGGTTGACAAAGTTGATAGGTGTAGCAGTGAGTGAGTGAGTTTAGTTTTACGCCGCTGTTAGCAATATTCCAGCAATATCACTGCGGGGGGCACTAGAAATTGGCTTCACACATTGTACCCAATGGGGAATCGAACCCGGGCCTTCGGCGTGACGCTTTAACCACCAGGCTACCCCAGCCGGTTCCGATGAGCCTAGTCAAAACAGTTTGTTCCGAAAATGAGTGAGTGAGTTTAGTTTTACGTCGCACTCAGCAGTAATCCAGCTGTATGGCGGCGGTTTGTAAATAATCGGGTCAGGACCAGACAATCCAGGGATCAACAGCATGAGCATCGGTTTACGCAATTGGGAAACGATGACATGTGTCTACCCAGTCAGCGAGCTTGACCACTCGATCCCGTTAGTCGCCTCTTACAACAAGCATGGGTTACTGAAGGCCAATTCTAAGCCGGATCTTCACGGGTATATTCCGACAATGGCATACACGAGTTGCACACTAAAAACACCGACTATGTCCATCAAAATATGATATTTATGGAACAGCCTCTTTCTTATATATTTTTTATCAAATTATATTTACTGCAACATATTAAATTTGAATCTATCAGTAAATTAAATTACATATCAAAATCGAAACCAATATCTATTTGCAAGAGAAACAAAATCGATTGAAATGTTTAGTTCTCACGACATAACTTTCTTTCCCACGCTTGCTTTGAAGATTAACCGTTGTTGTCGTAAAACAACTATCATCCATCAGGATTTGTAAAACAAGCTGCAACTATCTCTGAAACTACCTCGGTGATCAAATCAATCTGTCAGTATAGGCCAAAAAGAAATTTAGAAAAATGCCGTAGCAACAGCATTAGGAGCCCCTGACACAGATATAATTACAGCAGAATCCTGCGTAAGTATTTTCATGGCTTTTTAACGAATCTGACCTTACTTCCATTCACTGGGAATGTTTTTGGTGGCTTGAGATATTGTTTTTCGATACAGAGTCGTATTCAATTGTTCGTGGTTGTGGAATATCAATGACAGCATGAAACGTGCTATGTTTGGCCAGTACATTGCATACCGTTCTGTGGGATGGGATGGAATTGGATAGGAGATTTTCTTGAGCTTTTCTTTTCATAAAAAAACTTCATTGGTTTTATGGGTTCCTAAGAAAATTTGTTTGTTACACTTGTTACGTTGAAGCGGCACAACAATGTAGATTGTTTCAAGTTAATGCTAACAGCGTTATTGGTTTCGTTCATTTTTTAAGGGGCGGTGGGGTAGCCTAGTGGTTAAAGCGTTCGCTCATCACACCGAAACCCGTGTTCGAATCCCCAAAGGGATACAATGTATGAAGCCCATTTCTGGTGTCCCACGTCATGATATTGCTGGAATATTGCTAAAAAGTGGCGTAAAACCATACTAACTCACACATTTTTAAAACTCGGCAAGAAGGAGAACAATAGCAAACATCTTAATTGGCAATGTTAAACCCTTGTATAAATGTCATTTTTGAAACAGTTTGGGGATATAATTACATAATGACTATGATGAAGACCACACAAGAAATGAAACAGCAAAGACATGAAGTGAATAATAAATACAAGCGACAAAACATGCTCCACTGTCAAAAGAAATCTTCGCTACAGTTCCAGATAGAAGTATCTTAAACAAACTGGCTGCAACGATGTAAACTTGCTAGTGGCACAACGGACCTTAGTTTAAAAGTGAACAAATATATACTAGAGGTACATGCCTATTGACTTCAAGATTTGGTCACACACCCATTAGCGCTCAGGGCCTGCAATATTCTCAATGGCGTGTGTGTGCGTGTAGCAGGAATTCGAGTTTTTACTATAATTGTTTTAGTAATGTTATTACCTGGTGGACGGGCATGACATATCATCGTTTAAATATCATTTCCATTTGTGCCCTGCATTCTGAATCTAGATTTGTGGGATGACACAATGGTTGCCATGGCTCTTCATCCTTTTGCCAAAAACAAACAAAACTCAGACCAACATAACCCCCGTCTTTTCCTTGCACGTCTGCGTTTTTGGATATGCCCTTTCGTTTAAGCTCTTTTCTTGTAACCATAACACCTTACCTTGCTTCTGATTACATATAATTTTACAAGTGCTTGTGGTTTAAGATATTATCTACATCATTCAAGATTTCTCTTCTGTTCTGATAAACTTCATAATGATGAAATGGTGGCGTCACTTTTTCTGGGCCCGTTACTTCGATTGATCTCCGGATATGTTTTCAGGAATTTACCACCGTAGATCGGTTGATAACCAACACGTTTTCATGTTTTGGGGGCTACTTACTTCATGAATTTGTCCTTCCTGTCTGATTAATATATTTTCCTTCGGTACCATCAGGAAGTAGATTACATGTAGAATTTAACAAATGGGAATAATTTAACCAATTTCTGGTGCATGAAAGCAGTTGTACCCCAAATCTCCATCCCTGGAAAGAAATCCCATAAAGAGTGTAACATTTGTCATTAACTGTAATTTGGGAATTGTGAAGCATGTATAATAATCACTATGCCAAAAATATATGATAACCTAGGCTATACGTATAAACGGGAGCCTTCAAATACGTACACATGTTCCAAAGGAAAATGCATTCGACAGGTAGAGTGAGTAATTGTGTTTTCAGTGTTTTGTGTGGTTTTCCACTTACATCACAAAGGAAAATAATAATAATAATAATAAGTCATCTTCTACAACGCACAGTTTCCAAATACCAAGTGATTGCTGGCGGCGCTTTATTCAGAATCTGATTATTATTACCCCGGATAACCCAAGCTGCCCATTAGGCGCTAGAAGGGTATAGTCACATGACTTTATCGAACCGGGTACCCATTTTCTGCTGGGTGAACACAGGCAATTTTGATCAAACTCTCTTGCCTAAGGTGAGACCACATGTATCACATGTGCTTCATTGTGGTGCAGGACTGAAGTCCTGGAAACTCTCAGGAGTCAAGTTGCCAAACACGGTCTCCATCCAAGGACTCCGAGCTCGACGTTGCTTAACGATTAGTGATTCGTGACCTGAGCTGAGGTGAAGATGCAGAAACCAGCACGGATATGGTCTGGTGACTATGGGCAGAGTTATGTTACTTCCAAGCAGCATGTGGTATACCTTCCAGTTTACTTGACATAAACCTGTGTTTTGAAATTTGAAGTCGTGCCACTGTGGATCTAGATTCGACATCTTTTGGTATAATTTGGAACCGAGTGATGCTCGTTTCTCTACTGATATATATAGATTTATATTAACTGACCAGCAATGAATTTCTGGGAACATGTCTTAGAAATGTTATTATTGAATAGCAAGATTTTAGTTATATGTTAACAATGTTTGTCCGTCCAACTCGAACTTAGACATGACTGAACTTAACTTACTTCCGTTTGTTTTCTTGGCAGAACTGATTCTTTGCAGAAAGCAATTATCACGTTTGATATGTTGGCATTGTGAACTCTGCGCTGGGTAATTAATGAAGCCGCTAGCCATATCAGTTAGCAGTCACAATTTAAGTTTCTCTTTCATGGCCTCTCCTTGTATGATTGAAAGGAGGACCTCATGTATCATTCCCGGAACTTCTCATACCAAAGGTTCCACTACACTAAATCAGAATCACATGCTTCCTGAGCGAGAGCCGTTTGTAAAACAACTGAAGAGACAGAGACATGTGACAGCTGTGATTGGATGAAATATTGTGAGATGTTTATGCTTTTTAAAAGCACATCCATCCAGTAATTAAAACTGACCACAATTTTAAGTATTTAGTGCTGTCATTTTTATCACCATCACTTATGCTTATTGTGTGTACAGATATTTTCCAGTAGGTGACATTTGGTGCAGAACTGGGGTTGATGTGTTCCGCTTCCTGTGCTGGGAAAATGAGCCGGACAATTTGGCCAGACATTGTGCTTTAATGTAGTTTAAAGGCCTGACTGTACCCATGAGTAACTGGAATGGTTGTTGATAGCCTGGATAATTTGAAAAAAAATAAAAGGTTACTGTAGAAGTCTATGGGAAAACTTTTGGTGTTGTGTAACCCAAAGACAAACAATATCCTCAGAAGAGGAACGTTTCGGGTTTACCTTCTTACAGGTATGCAGATGTACACATTTTCTGATAGCGTTAATGTCCATTTGAAGCTAACTGTGTCCATCCACATTGGAATCATCTGTGTTGGTCGTGAGTATACCTACACCCTCGTGCGATGGTTGTAAATCATATCACACACATACACGCACGCACACACAAATGCATACACGCACACATACACACACAAGGCTATGGTCAACTCTGATAGGTAACGTTGAGTGTGGTAAGGTCATCTTAAGTGTGTGTCGATGATGTATGGTTGATGCACTATACGAATGTTTCAGTTTACAAGAGATGCAAACACAACATATTGTTCATTTTTCATTTCAATTTTAATTGAGCACAAAATATAAAACACAGCCAAATTAAAATTATCCCCTCAGATACGTAAACTTCAATTTTATTCAACCGACGAATATGTTCCAGGTTTTGGTACTTTCTATTATTTTCACTATTTTTTACAATGTAGTTCACATTCGCTATGGATACAAGTATTGCAGTATTTTGAGTGAATAATTTTACATACAATGCCGTCCGGTAATTCCGCGCACCTAAACACATCGATCGCAACACGGCAACTAACATCTCTTATTTTTTGTGGTTCACGTGACTAAACATGCTGGTGTGCATCATATTTACCTAGAAATAAAGATTATATTGACGACCATAAGATTGTAACGTTGCATTATGCCATACGGTTGACCTTACCGGCGTTCTAACGACATCGCTTGCTGTCCGGCAATTCTGCGCAGCAGCTGATGCGCATAACATCCAGCTGGAGATCCGAAGTATGGAAGAGTATTTGGGCCAGATTATTTTCGAAAATCACTTCATCAATGTAAGTAAGAGTGTTTCATATTAAATCCAATTATGAATAATGAAGAAAAAGGTTTGAAAGTCTGAAGAAAACGAATTGAGTGTCAATTTATCACTCAATTAGTGTTATTTACTTACCTTTAGTGATTAAAAGCCAGTCCATTGTAGAAATGTCCCGTTTTCAAGCGTAAATGCGGTAGCAGACGATTTTACCTTCGATACGGAAGTACTTTATTGCTGCGCAGAATTACCGGACTCGTTTGTGGCCTGTGGCACCCCATCCCACCCCACAGATCCACACCCAAACAATACATAGAAACGTGTGTGTATGTAATGTCCATTAAAATAATAATTCTCGGGATATTTGATGAGTAGTTTTCCAAAAACACAGACTCAAGAGTCGGTACACTGTTAAAAATCTAAATCTAACAACTAAGAATTAAGTGTTTTGTTAAAATCGAAATGAACGTGTTGCAACGGATCTGGAACACGATCGATTAAAGTTTTTTACTTCTCACAATATGAACTTACTTGAAAGTTACATGTTGGTCGTAAACAACTATCATCCATCATCCTTTGTAAAACAGTACCTTAACTACAAATTTTCTTTCACCGGTGATAACATCAAATTTGCCAGGAGTTCCTGACACTGACTAAATGAAAACAGAATCATGCCTACGAGTTTTAATCAATTTGTCAATTCTTTATTTCACAGGAGAATAGGCCCATTCTACTTCCATGGCAAGATATTATTTACATATTCGATTATTTCAGTCTTAACGGCTACTAAAACTTGAAATCAATTCTTTCAGAATAATAAAGTTGCATAAGATAGATTTCAATTTCTCCTAAAGTTTTTGAGTGTCTGGGAATTAAAACAAAAGGTTACTCAAAAGAAAATTTCATTCAAAATCAACGTAAAATGGAAATCCTGTCCAATAAACAATTTCATTCATCTAAACTTTAATTGAAAAAAGTAGTTTGATTTATCGCTTGGACCAAATTGAAATTCTAATGCCCATTGGAATATCGGACAATATTGTTTACGTGATTGCAACGTGTGTCACGTGGTTCTGACGTAATATCCAATAGCATAATGTTGTTCATACAGATGATTTATATTCGACTGCGGGTAAGGTCTGAAATTTTGAGGGTTGTTGGGGTAGCGTAATAATTAAAGCGTCCGCTCGTCACGCCAATCAGGGAGACTATATAACTTTGTAGATTATCCCTGCGCCAATTAACCCGGGTTTGATTCCCCGCATGGGTACAATGTGTGAAGCCCATTTCAGGTGTCCCCTTTCCGTGATATTGCTGGAATATTGCTAAAAGCGGCGTAAAACCATACTCACTCACTGTTGTTACGTGTTACAGCTATCTGATTCTGCTGCTAAGTCAATCATAATTTTAACCTTCTGTTACACGAATCAACTATGTGTATCTGTTGTTACATCAACCCCGATATGTAAACTTCTGTTATATGAATCAACGCCAGTACATATCTGTATCTGCATCTGTACTCCCTCCCTCCCTCACTCACTCACTCACTGAAATATTACTTTTTGTCCTTTGGGGAAGGTAGGGTGGAGTGTTGTTTTATGAACTGGGATGAGGTTGGGTCATGTTGACCAAACCAATTGTCCCAGATGCAACTACTATTCATTTCAACTAGCTCACTGCAATGACCAGAACTAGGTCACAGTTTGATATTTTCAATAGGCTGGAAACGCAATTGCAATATCCAAGTAGAATGTTCTTATAAAACATTGCTCACATTGGGAAAAGTAAATGTTTGTTTCCTAAAACCGCACTGGTGTAAGAAATCTCCGCGAAAAGCCATTAAAGCCCATTTTTACTTTTCCGACCACATCGATTATGTATCTTCATCCACCTTGTGCACTCGTCACAAACACACGCAAAGGTAAGTCAAATGTTCACCTGAACACAGACAGGACCATAAGGTGCACTGGAATGCATTGGAAATCATTGATGCTCAAATTTCGAAATGTTCCCACATCTCTTCAATAAAACTGTGACAACAAAAAATGTGGCGTAAGTGAAACCAATTAAGAAAAAAAACACCTCAAATTTAGCTGACACAAGTATGATATGAAAACATCCATTTTGTGAAAGGATGAATAGTTGGGTAAGACTGATTGATGGATTGTGAATTTGGTTCTTCTCGGTCAATGATCATTCGGTTTAGAGTAACACAATGTGAACAGTTTGGGATCCCAATTATATCACGATTCGTGACTGACAGAATTGAACTACGCTAGTATCATCTGAAGTACAAGGCCCGGTTCAACGCCACAGACATCCTCATCACTAATGATGAAGAGGCAATGTACACACGTTTTTTAGCTGTTGCTATAAAGAACTGGCACTCATCGTGTAATTCCGATCACGGAACGTCATGAGTCACACTTGTAGAAAATCAATAGTGCTTTTACCCCCACCAACATTCTTAACACATATGAAGAAGATAAATGGTTTTGTATTACATACTGCTATCATTCCCTGAGAATAAAAGGATGTATATATGGTTCAAGGCAGAAAATGGGCCACAAAATTTCGACAAAAGGATGAGGCTTGATGCTGAAAAATGTCATCCTACATAATTTACAGGTGGAATACATACACGAGGAGATACATATATAGAGGTGAAGTTCTTCCGTGTACAGTTGTATAAATGTAAAGAAATCCACTTGATAATGACATAACATGAACTCTCCTCCTACGCGTTTCTATTTGTTTCGGGGAGGGTTGGGAGATTACAGGTACAGATTATAATGTGACTTTACTTTTTGATGAAGTCACAATGTTCTAACGTCCGCAGACAGACAGATTTCAGCTTCATGCCTCTTTCGAATGAGAGCCAGTCCTCGCTCTCGTATCTTCTAATCGACCGGTGCATCCCTCAGTACCGTGGTGTGTACTCACTTACTTGTTTGAAGTGAGTATTTGCAGCTACTGGTGAGATCTTCGACTCTGCCATAGTGGACAGGCGTGTTCACGTCAACATGGTGTAGATATCGAAAATCATGGCATCAGAATCGTGTTCATAACCAAAGTCACCATCGTGTTCATAACCAAAGTCACCACAGTATCTACCAAAACACATTTTGATATATAAATTCCAAGAATTGTCACTGTCATACATCTGACATTAGCATGCTTATCATGAAGACATAATAGGACATTCAATATCAGCTGAAACGCAATTCATCTTAAAGATTGACTATGACTTGGTTGATGAATGTTCTTCTATCTGACGGGAACGTCTTAGCAGTTACTAATTTATCAGACAAAGCCATAAATGCCCTACACATTGATGACCATCTGATTTCACAGCTTTTTGTATTAATTTGTGTCATTATCTTATCTTTGTTGAGGAGCCAAACATGCAGCCAGCTGCTCCTCAGGCTGACAAGATGATGGATATGCTTTGGTCTGGTTGGCAGTCACCAGGGATATCACCAGTTACATCTAATGGCAAGCCGTGTTGAAGGAAGCATGTTGATTCATTTGTCTGCTGTTTGCAGAATACACTACAAGGCTCTTTGTTACACAATAAATTAGACAAAAACATCTTTGTACGTCAGTAGGACGGGTGTCTTTGGGAGCGATTATATTTGTTCACCAATGTATGTGTTGAGGATAGCATCAGGATATCGTTCATGCCATGTGATGCTATCACTCCTGAAGTCATTCTTAACTTGACATTGATTGTGGGCTGTTTAACCACTGAACGCATTCACGATCTCATTCTTGCTGATGGCTTTTGGGTTGATGGATCGTCTTTTTTCATATGCCCTCTTACCAATATAACTTTGAATACTCTCGCTGGAGAGCCCTCTCGAGAACCCTCCCGTTCGGATTATGCACATTCATTCTGCTGAATGTAAATACTGTTATGTGTGCATTCCCAAGCTGGTATACCAATACCGATATGATATGGAGATATGTCACGGAATATGCTGTTCTGACTGTCTTCAGTACCTAAGTCAAACCTGTGTGAGATGGTCCGCTGTGGTTGATTAGATCCGAAATCGTGCCATTATTAAAAAAGGTTTTACCTTAGTCAGTGGTTTGTTTTGATCAACTGTGTCACTCAGTGTGAGCTTTATAAAGGATGTCTTCGCCCAAACTTCCTGTAACATGTCGACAGTTCAGAACAAAACATTATGTCATGATATAAGATCATTTGCAGCTGAACATGCCCGGTAATTCAACCTTCCCCACACGCAGGAAGGCGTGGGTCCATATGGGACATAATCACATTCCCCATAAAGGTTAAACGTACAATATCAGTGTGACCGGTAAGTGGGATGTCTTTCTCAAACAGAATGTCATCGTACGTCCCGAAACAGCCAAAGAAGAATTAGAACTATCACTTTATTTTTATCGTAGTATATCTGTTATTTTAACTTATGGCCAGATTTGTCTGCAGTCGCTAGAATCTGATGGGACGGTGTAAATCCAGCTAGGGTCAATGCAGGTAGTAAAAGTACTGTAAGCGCCCATGGTCCCCAGCGTGGTGATCTACCTTCAGTTGTTGGCGATCTGTAGCCCGATTTTATACTATGTTGTTGAAAAATGAATTAGCATTTTAAACTGATCTCAAACTAGTTTTAATTAATCTGTGATAATCCTGTTGTTATACCGTCCTTCGATGACAGTATTTTGAAAATATATATGCATTTATTCTCCCGTATGAGTTCTTGTCGTCAGGATATGGCTGAAATAATGCTGATGTGACGTAAAATGTGAACTCACTCACTCACTCTTGTCACATGGTGTATGTGACTCTTGAGAAGACGTTTTGTCATAATAGAAACTGACATTTAAAACGGAACTAGGCAGTGGTCAATTTCTCACATGGGTACAATGTGTGAAGCCCATTTCCGAGTCCCCGGCCATGATATTGCTGCAATGTGGAGTGGCCTAAAATATATTCACACACACGCTTTGAGATCTGATTAATAAAAATATTTCTCTACAAAACATATATTCAATATCAACGTCGGTGGGAAAATGTCAATATTTCTTGCTATAGAGAATAGGTAGCCATAAAACATGACAGTCCTTCATATCATAGGGGAGTCATGCCAATCAATTTTTATAGCAGCCTATAATTTACATATTTGATTTTTACTGTCTGGAAACTTTCAATCAACATTTTGAAAACAGCGAAGCCGTAGAGGAGATTTCAAAGTTAGAGTGTTTGGGAATGA